AGGGGCAGGGCGAGGAGGAGGAGGAGGGGGCGGGAGCGCAGCAGAGAAGTACGGAGACAGCGGCGAGAGTGGAGGAGGCTGCGGAGGAAAGGTGAAGTTCCTGCAGGGGTAAAACACGCTCCTGTGCTTGGGTCCCACCATCAGAAACTTCTTGGTGTAGTTGTTGAGCGTGGACACACCAGACGACATGCAGCAGGTGAAGGCAACCCACGCCACGCTACAAACACCAGACACAACGTCAGCAACAGAGCACCAGACCTCGTGTGAAAACATTCATATACACAGACTACAGACTGGAAAAGGTCAAATCTGATCTGAAAACACTCAGCATCACACACTTGCCCACTGCTTGACACCAAGGAATTTTCTACTGGCTTGCTGGGCCAGTGGTTCACATTTTCAAAATAAATAAATAAAATAGTTATTGTTTTAATGTTTTTACCCATGTAATCTTGAATTCTAATAAACAAGGTTGTTATGACACCAACATATTAGATACCAGCTAAATTCACAATTCTGGATTCCCACTTTGTTACCACATCAAAAATACTACCCTAACTAATATAAAGTTTAAACATTATTAAAGGCAAGTTCACTTAAGTCATAACTGACTGTTTTTGAGGATACTCGCCAAGATGGGTCATTTGGCATAATGTTGCATATATTTCTCCGGTCACATGCAAGAAGATGCAAAAGAGAACTCAATTCAGTATTAGCGAATACCAAATTAATTTCTTTTGCGTCTTCTAGCGCTTGAATGATTTAAATTGCTTGAATGTTTAAACTGACAAGGCTTAAACACGTGCAAACAATAAATGTTCGTGACGATGTGGCACTGGCCCGAATCCGTCAAATATCCCGCCCCTGTGTCTATCACACACTTCACGATTTTCTGTTAAATCTGACATCTCCGACAATCTGCAGACTTACTCTGACTTTCAGCAACTAACCTGACAAAAATACACACTCTCTCGCACACACACACACACACACTCACACTCTGACATGTGTGTTGTACTCACTAAAAGGCCCAGGAGTAGCCGTAACTGTGAGGCTTAAAGTCCTCAGGGCCGAGAGAGATGGTCACCTGGAAAACCTGCATATACATCATGTGAGCGACCATCCCAACCAACCCTGAGAGAGAGAGAGAGAGACTGCAGCTGAGGATACACAGACAGGACAAAAGTTACGGTGTGTGTGTGTGTGTGTGTGTGTGTGTGTGTTGTACCTCCCAGAACAGTGCAGATGGCGGCGAAGGCATTGAGTAACTGACCCCAGCGCTGCTGTGGAGGAAACCAGGACGACAGACACAGCTGCAGCAGCAAGAGCAGAGAACTGACACACAACAGAGCGATGTACAGCAGCTCCATCCCCACGTACAGCCACACGATCCCTGCACACACACACACACACACACAGATTCACTTCAACAGAGATTCAGAGTCATTGTGTTTCTGTGTGTGTGTGTGCCATTGCCTTTTTCTGATGCAGGCGTGAGAGCCATGAAACTGCGACACTTCTCCTCTGAAACAGACAGACAGACAGACAGAAATCAACACCATTCCACATTAAAACAGAAGTTCCACTGGAACAGAGAGGAGAAAAACACAAGAGGATTCAAACCCTTCACACGCGTCACACCACGCTTTATTTCCTGACAAACAGCAGAAAACTACTTTGTGCGACAGGTGAAGCGACATGAACTAAACCTGATAAGCAGGTCTATCTCCAGCAGAATCTGAAAGAGCGTCTTAAAGTTCTGTAGAGTCACATGATCATTGACACTCACTCACATCTGATTAGTACCACAGAGCAAAATCATAAATCCTTCAAGTGTCATCAAGTTCCTGTGTTTTACAGTTACTAAAGACCCAACACATCCTATAGATCACAGAATATTTCATACGCTCTCAGAATTCTCACTTGATTCATTTTTGTAATATTTAATATGCATGTCGTGCAGCTTCATTCTTGATCTGAATGAAAACCACCACAGCTGAAATAATCCTCTTTAGAGAATCTCTCTCAATCTCTCACACAAACACATACGGAGCAGATCTAACACATAAACCTCTCCGTCACGTAATTAATCTCATCTCAAGAGAAGCTAGGAATCGATGTGCCTCTGCGAGACGTCGGCGGCACTGGCTGATGGCATGTTTAGCTACAGCGTAAACCAAGGGGACCCCAAAACCCTAAACACACCCCTGGATGTACAATAAACCTTTCCATCTTCTTCTGAAGACCACAATGGAGCGGTTTCGTCTGATACACAAAGTCAAACACACATGATGCTCGTCTCAATACATGAGGACATGAACTTCATCTCCAGAGCTGCTCTGAGAGTCACTTCAGCAGATTTACACCACTTACTTTGAAATAAAAAACCACCCTCAAATACACACTGAAACTGAAAGACCTTCACGACAACCCATCAAAATAAAAGTCCGGTTTAACTTGAAGAAATTATGACAGAAATGTAATACATTGTATGCTAAAATTTAATGCTCAAAGTATTATTATTATTGATTACTTTAATTTTTTAAAAGGAATATCATACAACCAAGGTATTTTTTTTAAATTAATTTATACAGTTCTGTTGTACAGCATCTTGCTTGACAATAAAAATACGTTTTGTTGTAAATTAATTTAATTTGATTACATTATAAAAGAATGGTCAAACTGTTAGTTTTATTAACTCATTTCATTAGACAACACTTTTTATGATAAATGTGTATTGAATCATAAAAACAGAATCCAGAAAAAATTAAATGGAAAAAAGCATTTAGGGAAAAATAAAATGGATTTCATGAGTGCCTAAATTAAAGGGGTCATGTGATGTTGCTAAAAAGAACATTTGCCCCGCCTTTTTGAAACGCTTCGATTTTTACAAAAGCTCATCGTTCTGAAAAGCGAAGTGTGCTGTGATTGGCCAGCTATCCAGTGCGTTGTGATTGGCCGAATACCTCAAGCGTGAGACGGAAATGTTACGCCCCTACCATACTGTGATGCCGTGTCCCGGCGCGACGAGACGAGACAAAACCAATAAAACCCATTATAAACGCGGCATTTGTTGCATTATAACGGATTATAATGACTTATACTGTCTTTTTACGTGTTGCATTGCATCGCGCCGCGTAAACATAAAACCATGTCTGCATTTGTGATCAGAGAAATGACAAACAACAAGTGACGACCCCGGGCTGGACTCCGCTTCGTCCACGGTGAAAGTTGATGTATTTCCTCAGCGACCAGCACGGATCAGCACTTAACCACTGATTTCTAGTTGTGTCCTCTTTTGGAAGACCAAACAAAGTAGTTTCGCTTTCACAACGAAACACACAGCGTCACACACGGCGGCCTAGAGTGAGCGGAGGCCGGGGGCTAGGGTGAGCGGAGGCGGCGGGCTTGCAGCAACCACGTGACGACTCCGGGCTGGACTCCGCTTCGTCCACGGTGAAAGCCGATCCGGTGATCCACAGCACTAAGTTGATGTATTTCCTCAGCGACCAGCACGGATCAGCTCTAGGCATGACGGAGCAGATATCGTCCTCTTTTGGAAGGCCAAACAAAGTAGTTTCACTTTCACAACGAAACACACAGCGTCTTCACGACATGGCGGCGGCAACAACAATACTACAGCGAGAATAAAAGTTACGCCTTCTTTCTTTGCGTGAACATTTGGGCGGCGTTATGCAAATCTTCCCACATAGTGAGGTAGATATGTGGGGGCGTGTTAGAACGAGCCGTTTTAGGTAGGCGTGGACGAGTCTTAACTTTTATAAAGAATATCTCTTTGGATTTGAGACTTTAGTCTTTGCAACTTTACAGATCTTCTTTATGCACCAAGAGCTTGTGACACTCCAAAGAGAAAGGAACAATTGAAATCGCATCATATGACCCCTTTAAGTTATCTTACTCTGTGGAGCTTAATTGTGAACAAAGTTATGTTTACATTTATTCTCAAGGTTTAACAAACATAGTAACATCCATTTCTTTCCCCATTAATGGTAAATGAATATCGTGATAAATTGTATCGATATCGCATGATATGGAATATTGTGATATTTTTGTCCAGCCCTAAAGTGATCTGAGAGATGCAGTGGAGTCACAAGATGGTTTTCAGTGATAGTTATGTGTGAGGATGATGTCTAGCTTTTCGCCTGCTTTGTGAGGTCAGACGAGGCCAAAAGAGTTAGTTAGTCAACACTTCTCCATTGCATATCTCTAATGTCTGACTATATCTCTGTAAGACTCGTGCATGGCCAACAGACCAGTACGGGACGCTGATGGTACGCTACAAGTCAACAGATTTCAAAATCACGTCAATGCAAAAGAAACACATCAAAGTTTAATACGTTTTTTTTTTTTTTGATAAAAGGCACATATATAGTGCGAAGTGCACAAGCCCAGAAAGATCATTCAGCTTTTATGTTATCCATAGTTATGAATGCTTAAAGGGATAGTTCAACCAAAAATGAAAATTTGATGTTTATCTGCTTACCCCCAGGGCATCCAAGATGTAGGTGACTTTTGTTTCTTCAGTAGAACACAAATTATGATTTTTAAGTCCAGCCGTTGCAGTCTATCAGTCGTATAATGCATGGTAATGGTAACAAAATCTATGAGAGTAAAAAAAACATGCACAGACAAATCCAAATTAAACCCTGCGGCTCGTGACGACACATTGATGTCCTAAGACACGAAACGATCGGTTTGTGCCAGAAACCGAACAGTATTTATATAATTTTTTACCTCTGATCCACCACTATGTCCAACTGTCTTTGAGCGCACACACGGCATCTGGTGCGTGAGGTGTGTACGCGCTCTGGCTTAGTTTACGTTAATGGGTGTGTTGATATCCAGCCGAAGAGCAATCAACCATAACTTCAGGCGAGCAGGCTCAGAAGTTGGGAATACATGGAAAGTCACCACTCCCGAATGAGTTCGTAATCTTTTAGTTTTAAGTCGGTTTGAACAATCCGGATAAGCGCAAGTAAGTACCATTTTGATTAGCAGTCGTACCTACAATGACTGTGCACTGTGTAAACAATGAGTGACGTATACGCGCGAGAGAACACTTCCGGCGCTTGCGTAAACTACGCCAGAGCGCGTACACACCTCACGCACCGGAAGCAGTACGCGTGCACGAAAACAGTTGGACATAGTGGT